CTTGTTATCTCAAACCAGGTAAGGTTTGCTTCCATAAATATGATAGTTTCATGGTTACAATACAATGATTCTTTTAATTCTGGATTTAATTGATTTTTAAACTCCTCCACCTGCTACTTTGGCATTTGAAACTGTATCCCCAGGGTATCTGACTACGCCTCCTGGATTACTGGTCTAAAAGCATTATTGCTGTCCTCCCATGCTAATGTAAATTTAATTGAGGAAAGCTGGATAAATACAAAGAGAGAAAGGAATAGAAAGATGTTGATGGGATTGAGCATAAGCGTTGGTATTGGATTGAAAAAAACAATGCAGGAAATGGTCAGCAATTCAGACCAGTTGTGTTCAGAGTTAACGTTTTGGACTCACATTTTCAGCTGAACTGGATAGTCAAATGTACACAAGAATCTGCTTTAAACAAGTAAAGGGAGGGTGGGATAAAGAACATAAAGAATGTCAGAGGATTGTAAATGGGAGAGATTGTTTGAAACATGTGGTTGTACAAGGCCACAGGAAGTGGTTAGGAGACGAGTAGGAAACATTAGATGTGGTGTGAATGACATTTAACAGCTCTTGGTTTCAAAAGCAAATGGAGAAAACATGAGTAAAACCAAAACCTGCAAACCAATGTGTATAAAGATCACAGTCTGAAATTGTTGAACTGCATACTGAATCTGGTAGACTCTGGAGGTCTACTAGAAAGATGAGGTACTGCTGAGTTTGCATTGAGATTAATTGGAACACTCAATGAGTCAGTGCAGTGGCCAATGAGAGGAAGTTGGAGGATTAAAATGACAGCATTTTCTGATGAGTCTAGGCCTGAAACGTCAGCCTTCCTGCTGCTATGATGCTGCTTGGCCTGCTGTGTTCATCCAGCTCTACACCTTGTTATCTCAGCATTATGCCTGTGGTCACCAAATCTGCTTCTGATTTCCTGGTGTAGAGAAGACAACATATGAATAGTGTTCTATATTTAAAAACAGTACTCGTAAGTAGTTGCTTCACATGGAAAGTATATTATATGATTAAAAAAAAATTGTGGGGTAAGAGCAGTTGTATCTCTATGCTTGCATGAAAAGATGCTGTTGAAAATAGGAAGAAATGTAGATTCAGTGTCAGAAAGCAAACAGTTCTTTTTGAAATGGTAAAAGGGGTTGGGGGGGGGGGTGGAAAGGTGTTTGGAGGAATCCCAATTTGTGATTGAAATAGTGGAGTGTGCTGCTCAACTGTGGAAGCTGTATGAGGTGAGGAACTAAAGAATGCTAGCCTTGATCGGGAGGGGAGATGGTGAGAACAGAACTGCACAAAATGAGAAGCACACAGTAGAGGTCTCTTAACCACTGGGAGTTTCTAGTTGAGGAAAGAGGAGGGCACATCAAGCACTCCTTAGGAAGGTCACATCATTAGAACAGGTGCGACAGAGACCGAAAAACTCAAAACGGATTGGAATCTTTTCAGAAGTGAAGAATGGGGCACATAGTCAAGGTGGTGGGGCTGCCAGTGGTCTTAATATTTGTTAACTATCCCCAATAAAATTGAAAAAATTTATGACCTGTCTTTTTACTTACTTTCATGTGGGCCATCTCTAACACTTGCCTTGCTCAATTTTTGGGGATAGGTTAGGTTGAGGACAGCAGATGTCAAGAGATGGTCTGTCTGAAAGCAATGGAAAGGTGGGTTTATACAATGTTTCCATTTGGGCTGAGAGAAGGAAACAACACCGATGAAATCCTCAAATGTATCAAAAAATGAGGGAGGAGGCCTCTAAGACCGGAGCAAGGAAAGTTCACACACCCCACCAAAAAACAGGCATAACTTGGAATGGTGCACATGTTCAGCGCTGCCTTTTATCTGGAGAAGGTGAATGGGATTAAAGTTCTTCAGTGTAAGATCAAATTTAGTGAGGTTGGAGAATCTGGCTCTTTGTTTAAGGGAGAAATCCGTTAAAATCAAATCTCGCCACGGCAGATGATGGAATTTGAATTCAATAAATATCCGGAATTAAGAATCTAATGATGACCATGAATCCATTCTCGATTGTCAGAAAAGCCCATCTGGTTCACTAATGCCCTTTAGGGAAGGGAACTACCTCCTTACCTGGTTTGGCCTACATGTGACTCCAGACCCACAGCAATGTGGTTGACTCTTAACTGCCCCCTGGGTAATTAGGGATGAGCGATAAATGCTGGCTGGCCAGCAACGCTGTCAGCCCACTAATGAATAAAGAAAGAAGTTGAGTTCTACTCATGCTATTATACAGAGAAACTGCATTACGAAGAGGAGTGGTGGGGGTGGTTGGTGATGTAGAAACTGAGAATGAAAGAATTCACTTCATTGAGGCAGTGTAGACTGAAACACTTGGTATACCAGGGCAATCCTGTTGGTAGATTTTGGAAATGAGATTTGAAGCAGGCTGTTTGAGGTTGGGTATGAAGGCTCATCTTACAGCATTGCAAACACAACATAGAATTCAACAAATATCCTGTGCCTAGTTTTGGCATGTTTTAGATTTACTGATTTATTTATTTATTTTTTTTTGGTTTTGAAAAGCAGCTTGTCATTCTGTTATTTGCAATGCCCTTAGGCATATATTTGGCTTTACATATTCCTTTCGCACTGCCTTTTGGCCTTGCATCATCTACTCTGTACTTTAATCTCTCCTGTCTTGCAGTCTTTCCTTTTGCCTGTTTTCATATTCTCGCCACTTAACTTGCTGTTTAACATTTTCTAGTTTTAATGAAAGGTAGTTGACTTGTACATTAACTCTCTCATTCTGCAGGTGTTATTTCAGACTCCCAATTCTCAGTATTTTGTTCTATAACACAAGTTGAGTATTGCTGAGAAAACATTGCAAGTTTAACTGATCATAGAATCATAGAATCCCTACAGTGTGGAAACAGGCCCTTTGGCCCAAGTCCACACCGACCCTCCGATCATCCCACCCAGACCCATCCCCCTATAACCCACCTAATCTACACATCCCTGAACACGATGGGCAATTTAGCATGGCCAGTCCACCTAGCCTGCACATCTTTGGACTGCGGGAGGAAACCGGAGCGCCCAGAGGAACCCTCGCAGGTATGAGGAGGATGTGCAAACTCCACACAGTCGCCCGAGGGTGGAATTGAGCCCCGGACCCTGGTGCTGTGAGGCAGCAGTGCCAACCACTTAGTCTTAAGTTTGTTACTGTATTTCCCAGCACACTTCTCTGTGTGACTTTTGATAATGTTCTGAGTTTTGCAAACATGTTGTTTGAATACTTTCAGTACTTTGCCTACTGTGAATAGCCAAAAGTATGTGGTAAAAATCGAGAGAACTGCGAGATGCTGTAAATCAGGAACAAAAATAGAAGTTGCTGGAAAAGCTCATTAAGTCTGGCAGCAACTGTGAATTAAAAATCAGAGTTAATGTTTCAGGTCTGGTGACCCTTCCTCAGAACTGATGGTGGCTGGGAAAATGTCAGCTTATATGCAGAAAATAGGAAGGGGTTGGGGTAGGGGTAGGGAGTGAACGATAGGGTGGAACCTAAAGAGAGAGAGAAGAGTGGTTGGATAGACAAAGGAAGTGATAACTGTCTAGCTAGGAGGGTGAATAGTTGTTAATTGGGACTGTTAGTGACTAACAATATGTAGTGTGTAATGGGAGGCTGTGATAACAAGGCCTGGTGTGTGAGGTCATGGGAGAATTTAGGCCCTAGAATTATTGAATTTGATATGGAGTCTGGAAGGCTGCAGGGTCCCCAAGTGGAAAATGAGGTGGTGTTCTTGCAGCTTGCGCTAAGCTTCACTGGAACACTGCAGCAAGCTACAGTCACAGATGTTGGCCAGGGAACAAGGTGGTGTTGAAGTAGCAGGCAACAAGTAGCTCAGGGTCTTTTTTGCGAGCAGAATGTGGATGTTCTGTGAAGTGTAGACTGGGTGACTGTTTCGCAGAACATCTATATTCTGCTTGCAAAAAAGACCCTGAGCTACCTGTTGCCTGCTACTTCAACACACCATCCTGTTCCCTGGCTAACATCACTCTCTGGCTTGCTGCAGTGTTTAACCGCAAGCTGGAAGAACAACACCTCATTTTCTGCTTGGGGACCCTGCAGCCCTCCGGACTCCATATCAAATTCAATAATTCTAGGGCCTAAACTCTCCCTTGTCCCAGGCCTTGTTATCACAGCCTACCATTACATGCCACCTGTTGTTAGCCACTAACAGTCCCCATTAACAACTATTTACCGTCCTAGCCAGATCGTTATCAACTCCTTTGTCCAACCGTTCTTCTCTCGCTCTCTCGGCTCTATCCTGTCATTTACTGCCTACCCCATCCCACCATCCCTATTTTCTGCACGTAAGCTGACATTTTCCCAGCCGCCATCAGTTCTGAGGAAGGGTCACTGGCCCCGAAACGTTAACTCTGGATTTTTTTTTTTTTCTTCAGATGCTGCCAGACCTGCTGAGCTTTTCCAGCAACTTGTACTTTTGGAACAAAAACATGTGGTGTTTGATTCTATTCGCCCATCATTGGAACATGGAGTCTAAGTACCTGGCATTGCGTCAATACTGAAATTCCTATATCCCATTGTTTATTATCAGTCAACCTAACAATGTGCCTCACCTGTTAGAAGCTGCACATTTGTATGCAGGTTGAAAGGAACATGTCCAGGCATGTGCTGCTTTTAAATGATGTAGAAGTATTAGGATATATTCTCTAACACCTTGACCAATTAATTGACTTAACAAACAATTAACACCCTTTTCTGTATTGTGAATTACAGTTTCCTTTTGAAATATTGCAATTTTACCTTTTTGTTCTGATGAGTCCAAGACAATACGTTTTGATGGAATTACTCTTAAGCAAATTTTTTGTAAGTGGATCGTTGAGTGGCTCCCTTTTGTACTGTAATTACTTCGCAATGCTTGAATTTATGAAGTGAGGAAGTAGAGTGCAAGTAAAAGGTTTTGGTTCTAGTTTTTAATAGTATTATTTGTTTAACTGCTAGCTCCTTCAGGCCAGACCTCGGCGTGTAAATCTGGCAGCAGTGCCTGCTTGTTGAAAGGATCCACTGCATTTGATGTTGGCCAACCAACAGATGCTTTAAAACTAGTTGGCAAAGACAGGTAGGAAATGCGTCATTGGAATTCCAAGTGTCACATTTTATTTGATTTACCAGAAGAAAATTTTTAAATGTAGAGCTTACACTATGCTTACATTGAAGTCATTTTGTGTATAATTTCCACTTTAACCTGGAATTCTGATTTTTTTATATAGTGAGCCTTCTGATATCAAGTATAGTTGAGAACTAAGTATTTAAATGTTTATATCAATCAATTTCCTGAGATGTTAGATATTCAGCTAACACACTGGTTCATGTTTTAATATCCCTTCTTGGACTGCAATTTCTGATGTAAAGTAACGATAAGTTTCAAAATTACAATTTTCCTGGTCTAAGCTGCATTTTATTTTTTGATTAATCATCACCAACTATATTCTGTGTATTTAACTATCATATTTTCCATTAGTCTTCATTTTCTCATGTTTAGAATGTAAACATTGTTTCCAGTATAATAGAGCTAAGGTAGAAGTGAAAATATGCATGAAATTGACATTGAGCAGTGGTGAAAAACTCTTTGCAGATATTTTGCATTGGAAATCAAATTTAAGGTAAATAAATGCATACAAGGTCTTTGACTGTATTCGTGTACATTGTACATGGGAAACAGAGGTGAGCATGTTTCCTCCTCCCCCACCCACCCAATTCCTCACTTATGGTGTAGCCAGCAATGTCCATAAGCTATCAATTTATTGCCCTGGAAGAGGTGGGTCAGCTACTTCCTTGAACCATTGCAGTCTTTCGAGTGTAGGGACACCCATAGTGCAGATAGAATGGGGGTTCCAGGTTTTGAACAGTGAGCGATATAGTTCCGAGTCAGGATGATGGGAGGGTTGGAGGGAAATCTGCAATGGTGATTCCATACGTCCACACCACTGCCCCGCCCACCCTCCCCCAAAAAAACCACCCAGGTAGAAGTTGAGTGTTTGGAAGGTACTGTTGGAGGACTTTTGATCACCTCCACTTGTGTATCAGTGATAAAGCAAATGAATAATGACAGTGGTTGATGGGTGCAATTCAAATGGGCAGCTTTCTCTTGGATAGTGTCAAACACTTGAGATGTTGGCAAGCGTGTAGGGGAGGTAAGTGAATTGTTTACTGCAGATTTCCTAGTATTGGGTCTGTTCTTGTTACCAGAGTCTGTCTGATCCAGTTTAGTTTCTAGTCAACTGTAACCCCCGGGATGATGGCGGAAAATTCAGTGGTGGAAATGCCTTGTTTAAAAACCTTGTACCTAAATGCAGTTTTTGGAATAAAGTTGATGAGCTGACGGCACAGAGATAAATGAGTACAACCTGGTGGAGATTACTGAAATGTGGTTTTACAGGAAGATCAAGACTGGGAGTTAAATGTCCATGGGTACTCGGTATTCCAAAAGGATAAGCAAGGAGTAGGAGGTGGACTTGCTTTATTGGTTAAGGATGCCTACAAGGCTGTATTAAGAAATGCTGTTGGCCCCAGCGACCAAAATGTTTATTAAGTCTGGATGGAAATTAAAAGCCAGGGAAGAAATTCCTTGTTAAGAGTAATTTAAAGACCTGCAAATAGTACTTATGAAGTATGGCACAGTACAAACCAGGAGATAATGAGGGCTTGTGAGAAGGGCACAACAGTAATTATGGATGATTTGAACGTGCATATTGACTGGATTAATCAACTTGGGAAGTATTGCCTCAAAGAAAGGTACGTAGAGTATATGAAGGGTTGTTTCAGAGCAACATGTCATCAAACCAATCAGAGAACTGGCTACTTTAGATTTGGTGTCATGTAATGAGGAAGGATTGTTAAAAGGCCTTGTTAGTGAGGATCCTGTTTGAAGGTGTGACCACAACATGTTAGAGTTTCAGATTCAGATGGAAAGAATGAAGACAGTTGCATACAAGAGTTGGCCCTAGTGGACTGGGCAAAAATGTTAATAGTCAGGACAATTAAAGAGGTGGAAAATACTTAGGGAGATACTTAACACCTCTCAATTAAAGTGTACTCTCTTCTTGCTCTCAAGTTCTAACAAGGTGAAAAATCATCCATGGCTTAACAAGGAAGTCAAGGATAAGATAGACAAAAACTAGGACATACCAAACCACAAAAGCTAGTGGCACGCTGGAGGATTGGGAGAACTCTAAACCTTAGCAAGGGGTTACTAAAAACAAATCAAAAGAGCTAAGATGAACTGCAAAAGGAAACTAACAGAAATACTAACAGCATTGATATCAAAAGCTTTTAAAATATGTAAAAAAGGAAGAAAATCTTGATGAAATTACTATAGCCAGGGAGAAGGTATTAAGTAAACTGCTGGGATTAAAGGCAGGTGGATAGCACCCTAGGGTATTAAAGGATGTGGCAGCAGATAGCAGATGCATTAGTTATGATATTCCAAAATTCACTCCATTCTGGAAAGGTACCCATGAATGGAAACATGCTAACATGACACCCTAGTCAAAACAGGACATGGCAAAAGGGGCAGACGTAAAACTAACTGATCTGTGGTGGGGAAGTTGCTGGAGTCTGTCTTGAAGGAGGAGATAACTGAACATTTGGGGGAAAATGAAGCTCGTTTTGCCAGTGTCATAAAGGGCAAGTTGTGCTTGGCAAACTTGCTGCAGGTCTTTTGAGGATGTGACCAGTCATGTGGATAGTGGGGATCCAGTGGATGTGGTACATGAAGACTTCCAAGAAGTATTTGATAAGGTGCTGCATAAAAGATTGATCCAGAAGGTTAGGTTTTGGGTGTTAAGGGTGGAGTATTGGCTTGGATAGAGGATCGGTTGACTTACAGCATACGGTTGGGACAAATGGGTCCTTCTCTGGTGAACCATAACTAGTGGGGTGCCACAGTGTTCTGTTCATAGACCTCAACTATTTGCAATCTATATAAATGATCTGCAAGCTGGAACAGAGTGTAACATAGCAAAATTTGCCGATGATACCGAAATAGGTGAGAAAGGAGGCTGTGATGAGAGAGAATTTACTCAGTTTTTATCAAACTGCTACAAAGTGTGAACAACGGAATAAAACTGGATGCAGCACCATCTGCTGTACTCTTAGTACAATACTAGCTGGTCAACATTACTGCCAAGACTGTCTCATTTAGCACAGTGGTAGTGCCTCGCAACAGAATGGAAACTATCATTAATATGAAGTTGGGACTGGGTAGTAGTTGTTTCGATTAATATTGTATAGATAGATGCATCTGTGGTAGGTACGTTTTGAGGACTTGGTCACTCATACCTTCTTGGCTGCTTCTCCACCTTTTGTGACTCAGTCTAGTAGCTGGGATTCTGCCAACTCTGTCAGTCAGGCTGATACCAAGCCACTCTTGACAATAGATACTTGAAGTCTCCCACCCAGATTATGTTCTATGCCCTTTCCACCTTTGGACTTCTTGAAGTCATGTTCAACATTTACTAATTCCTCAGCTGAGGGCAATGGGTATGTAATAATCAGGAGGAACTTGTGTGTTTTGATCTAATAGCAATATACTCGCAGGATAACTCCTTCCTGCTTATATAGCACTGCTGCCACCTCTTTTGGGTTGCCCTATCTATGGGACAGATATTGATGGTGGTATCTAGGACATAATTATAGCCACAGAATCATGCCTTTTACCAACCTGTTGAGCAATAGTCTATCAGTGTGAGACAGCTGTTCCAATTTTGGCACAAACCCCAGATGTTGGTAATGAAGACTTTGCAGTGTTTTCAAAATTGTGCTTGGTGGTGTACTTTCTGGTGCTTAGGTTTAATGCCAGGTGCTGCATCCAGTTTTACTCCTTTGTTCACAGTTTGTAGCAGTCCAATAAAAACGGAGTGGCTTTGCTAACTCCATTTCAAAGGGCAGTTAAGAATCAATGGTACTGTTGAGAGTCTGGAGTTGCAGGTACCAAGTAAGGGTGGCAAGTTTTCTTTCCAAAGGGCGTTGTGAACAAGATGGATTTTATGAAAGAGTGCACAGTCACATTTTGCTAATTGAGTTTCACCATCTGACACGGTTGAATTTAAACCCATGTCCCCATAACATTAGCTTAGGAGTTCTGGATTATTTGTTCAGTGATACATTCAATGTGCCTTCAATGCAATTTTTAACTATGTCCTTCAATTTATGTTTCAGGTTAATGCTTCGCTATGCCAAAAAAAATAATGGAAATGAAAAGTCACCAGCGTTTTGTGGCAATCATAAACCTGCTGTCACCATTACTTTAATCTGTCCCTCTGGAAGGAGACAGGTTTGTAAACAGGTTGAAAACATTTGTACTGAAATGGAAAGCTGATCTTTTCTGGATAGAATAGGAATAATTGAGGAATAGTACAACTGTCTCTTCCTCAGCTATAAACCCCTTCAGTTGAAAGAGTTTTTAAGTCATACATGTTTAATAATTACCACTTGATTTTTATTGCAGCAATTTGATATCTGTTTAATTCTGCTTCCTTGAAACATTTTAGAAAAGATAAATGTTCTATTTGATTCCCGTATTAATACATATTTCCATCATTGTCTAGTGGCCTTAACTTTGAGAGCTTTGGCTGTAATGTTGACCAGCTAGTATTGTAATAAGAGTACAGTGGATGTCCAAAATGACCATTTGTCCTTTTCAAGCCAGCTGTACCAATCAATGTAATCATGATTGATCTTCTACCCCATTCTGCTTTCTGCAAGTTCTCCCAATTCTTTAATTGGATGAGACATCAAAAATTTGTTTCAGCCTTGAATACATTGAGAGTGAACTTCCGGAGCCTCATTGGGAAGAGATTTCTAAAGGTGTACACTCCTCTGAAGTTTTTCCTCAGCTCAGTCCCAAATGTTCAAGACTTGGCCTGAAACTGACTTTGTAATCTAAATTCCCCAAGCAGAGGAAACTTCCTTTCAGCATCCACCTTGTTGACTGCCTTCAGAATTTTGTATCTTTTAATGAAATCACTTCCCACTCTCCATTCTTCTAAATTAGTGAAGCTGCTTCAAAGCAAGCATATCCTTTCTTGTATATGGAGCGGAAAAACTGTATACACTACTAAGTGTAGTCTCAACAGAGTTCTGGACAGCTGTCACAAGAGTTCCTTATGCTTGTACTCCAGTGCCTTTTCTATAAGAGCCAATATGCCATTTGACTACCTAAGCCATTGCTGTGTTTCTTGAAGTGCACACAATTTTTCAACATCGACTTTTGAAAGGTTGAAGTCTTTGAAAAATTGTTTTGTATTACTGTAATAAATGAGAATCTCTTAAATCCACATTATACTTTACCTGCCTTGTTGCCCATTTTCTGAAGCTACCTTTTATCTTTTTGTGGCCTCTGATCTCATGATTCACGTTCCCATCAGCTTTCTTCACTCAAGTTACTACACTGTATTGTATCAAATTTTCTTTATAAACCACGATTTCCCTTGGTCACATCCCCTCGAGTATAAATTTCTTTTAATTTCATTTCAAGTGTTTTCTGTTTCTCCAGAACATGACCACTGTTTAGTTAAATAATTTATTCTTAAAATTGACAAATGACATAGATGTTATGCAGATAACATGCAATTCTGGTATCAATAATATGTAAATTGGATTCTAGATTATTCACTTCAAAAGCGGGGCACTGAGTTTACCAGGATAATGTGGCTGAAAAAAAAATGAACATTTGCTTAAATTGCTAATGTCAGTTCAATACTTGCCAAAAGATGAAGCTTCATTTCTTAAGTTAAGGATGAAAATTATGATACAGTGGAGCCTTGATCATCCATCAATTTTTGCTGCCTCTTCAAAGTCCCTTTTGTGTTGGCAAACCTAAGGACAACTTAACATATTGTTCTGGATTCTGCAGAGGGCTACAGTGTTTTCTTCAATTTCTTTTCTTTATTTGGGTCTTGGAATCCTTGATGTTCATTACTATGTTTTGCAATATTTCTGAATTTGGGGAAAATAAGGTTGTATTCCATTATATTTAACTAGGTAAATAGACATATTTTAATTTTATTTTGGAACTAATGTAAGTTTGGTTTGCAGGGAGTGTACATGAAACCATTTTCACATTTTACAGGTATTTCAGGCATTGAGAAACTTGTAGAATTTGCACTTTTGATTTTATGATCTTGACTTACAATACAAATATGTTTGGTTTAATAGGGTACAGATCCCAAGTTAATTGCCAGTACTAACTGTCGCTATGAAATTGAATGGGTTACTGAATATGCCTGCCCCAGAGATTACCTAGAAAGCCATAACTGCAAGCTTGTAAGTGACCAGCATGACATCTCCATTGATCTGACACCCCTCACATTGACTGGTAAGAAGTGTACTGTTACAGAATAATAAATGTATAATCGTAGGCAATGCACCTGTGATAGCTCATCTAACTACAGATGTCTAGAGTAGTAAAATAAATTATGGTAGAAATGTAAACCAAGTTGTTCTCCTGGTTGTTTTGCTGTCAATTTTCTGATTTTTTTAAAGAGCCTATATTTCATTGAAGTCTTTGTATACACAGTACTTCCAAAAATTACCTAAGATTGTAGCTTGGTTTTTTTTTTTTGCATGCTTTCAACCCCAAGTCTTAATTTGATTTGTATATTGCCTTTTTAAAAAAAGATCTGTATGAGGATAGTAAAGCATTGAATATGTTCTCTTTGGTGGTTGTCACCCTTCTGTGCTTTAAGGAAGTGTCCACAATTTCTGTACATCTTAAGCGAGTGCTGTGATACTACATGGGATGTCAATAAAAGGAAGATGAAATCTCATAGTATCAGAGTTTCTCACTCATTAGAGAAGTGACTGGTGTTGAGTCGTCATGACTCAGGCGAGGGGTGAGAGTTGAGAAGCTAGTACAGGAAATGAACTTGTGCTGTTGGTGTGCTCTGTATCACAATTCAACCAACAATGTTAACCAGCCCTTCAAGCTTCTTGCTGATATCCTCACATGCAGGTGCAGCACGAGTAGAATCTATTGTTTCTTCCCAGAAATTAAATCTGGATCTCTCCTGGTCTTTGATACGCTTCCTTGTGAAGGCTTAGGGATGCGCAGTTTTTTGTGTGCAACTAACCTACCTATTGAAATGTCTGTCATTAAGGTAAATTTTCAACACAATTTGTTTATAATTGAAACTATAATGGAATGATTTAAAAACCTGTACAGTGCGCTAAATGTAAATTGAAAGATTAGGGAAGGTCTGCATCCCGAGTTCGGTACCCGGGAAAGAAAAGTTAATTTTCATGGGATACTGTTATGACAGGAAAGGGTTGCATTTTGAGCTGAGTGGGACCAGTATCATAATGGAAAAAGTAAATTTGAGATGATAAAGGCTTTAAACCTCTTGGAGGGGTTGCAGGGGATGCAGTGAAACAAGGAGAGCATGGGCAATATTAACTATGGAAAGCTATAAATTAATAGTTGTAGAAAATAGAAGTACCAAACATTTGGATAAAAATAAGATGAGGAACAGCTATTTAAGAAATGGATTAGACTCTTCAGCCATATCCAATGTTTACAATAAAATAGGTGGACTGGTGATAGTTGAGAAACCAGATAATGTAGGGATTGCTGAGGTGTGATTTTGAGAAAAAAACTGAGTTAAGAATTCAATATTACAGACTATAATATACTTAGAAAAGGAGAAGATTAAGCAGTTGCATTTAGAGATAACAAATTAGAAAAAAAGTAAAACCGTAATAAGTTAGAATACATATAGACAGGCTTGAACAATTGACTTTAATAAATCTTTTAAGTAGGAGTAGACTGAAAAACACATAATAATGAAAGGGGGAGATGGATAATGAAATGTGAACAAATTGGGGAAATGAATTGAAGCATTGAACAATCATGTGGAGCATGTTGTTCTTGTTTCTGAGCCAGGAAACTGGGTTCAAGTCCCACCTACTTCAGAAGTGTGTAAAATATCTCTGAACAGGTTGATTTAGGAAATATCTAGAAGAGCAATCACTGAAAAATTTAGCTTCTATGAAATGAATTAACCAAAAGAGTTGGGTAAAGGGGAAAAGGCAATGATGTTGCTGCAATCTGCAGAACTCTTGCGTATTGGTTTAATGAGCCCAACAAGAAAAGACTCACTCTGATAATTGGGAAATGAATTGGAGAAAATGAGTAGTAAAAGCAGTGAAACATTGAGACAACAGTGATCATGATAATCTTTGGTTTGGGACAATATTTGAGAAAATTAAATTAAATTTTTCAGGGTGATAAAGTGAAGAAAAAACTGTTTTTAAGGGGGTGGAATTAGAATTTGTGCAAAGAAAATGGAAAGTTATATTGATATTCTGATCAAGAGTAACAGAAAACAAGTTGCTTAAATAAAAAATAAACTAATCACTAATGATATCATGATTAAAGCCATAAAGGAAAAATTGAGGCTACCAAAATGGGTGTAGAGAAAATGAGTATTAATGCAAAGACTAGAAGAGATATTTTAAAAAAAAGACTTGAAGAGGTGGCAATATGGAGCTAAATTATCAATGATCATAAAGCAAAATGGTAGAATATTCTACAAGCAAATGAATAAAACATAGCAAAGTATGATTGTGAGTTAGACTACTGAAGGATGGTCAGGACAGTCACTTGTGGCAGTACTTAAATGACTATTTTGTACCAGTATTTATTATCAAGGAGATGGAACACCTGTAACTTTCCCTTCAGGAGATGAGATTCAAAATTCTGTAACTGCATATAAAGGCAAGAGGAGAAATAGTTTTTTAAAAAAAAATCCATGAAAAGGAAGGTGAAATCCCTGGTGAGATAGAAAGAAGGCTCAATGGGCAGGTTCATTGGTACATTTAAAAAATTTGTCTGCTATTCTACTAGAAATCTACATAAAGAAGCAGAACTAGGCCATTCAGCTCTTAAACCTGCTCCTCCACCCAAAAAGGTAATGCGTGATCTGTTTTGGGGCTGATTTTTCATTCTAATTCTTCTTGGATCCATGTGAAAGATCATTGAAACTTTATACTGGACATAGTTTGTGCTTAAAAAGATTCAATCTTCTACAGTGTTTTGAGGTTGGGTTGAATTGTGTGTGTTTAAAAGCAGTGCACTTGAGGAGAAGCCTTAATCTGACAGTGTTTTAAATATAATTTCTACAGTGGTGCATTAATTTATATAGAGGATAAAGACAATTTACACATTCAACTGTTTACAACCCTGCCAAATAGAATAGCTAAAATATTACAGGATGACAATTGTGATACCAAAGGAAGCCTTTTGGGCTATGTTCTGCACCCGCTTTCTCTGCAATTCAGAGTCCAAATCCTTCATGTTTTCAGCATAACCTTGCAAATTCTAGCCGCCTTACAGAAGTCTAATTCTTTTGTCTCAATTTAACATGTTTCTTTCACATTAGAATATAGAACATAGAACATTACAGCGCAGTACAGGCCCTTCGGCCCTTGATGTTGCACCGACCTGTGAAACCAATCTGAAGCCCATCTAACCTACACTATTCCATTATCATCCATATGTTTATCCAATGACCATTTAAATGCCCTTAAAGTTGGCGAGTCTACTACTGTTGCAAGAAAGGCATTCCACGCCCTTACTACTCTGAGTAAAGAACCTACCTCTGACATCTGTCCTATATCTATCACCCCTCAATTTAAAGCTATGTCCCCTTGTGCTAGCCATCACCATCCAAGGAAAAAGGCTCTCACTGTCCACCCTTTCTAATCCTCTGATCATCTTGTATGTCTCTATTATTAAGTCACCTCTTAACCTTCTTCTTCTCTCTAACGAAAACAGCCTCAAGTCCCTCAGTCTTTCCTCATAAGATCTTCCCTCCATACCAGGCAACATCCTGGTAAATCTCCTCTGCACCCTTTCCAATGCTTCCACATCCTTCATATAATGCGGCGACCAGAACTGTACGCAATACTCCAAGTGCGGCCGCAGCAGAGTTTTGTACAGCTGCAACATGACCTCATGGCTCCGAAACTCAATCCCTCACTGTCAGGTAATGCACTGAAACCCTAATTAATTGCTACATAAAGTTCCTCAAACGTATTTGCTAACATTGAAACTGACATCTAATCAAATATCCTGAACTGTGTTTGTTCACAATGTGGAGGTGCTGGTATTGGACTGGGGTGGACAAAAGCAGAAGTCGCATGACTCTTCCAGGTTATAGTCCAACAGATTTATTTGAAATCGCAAGATTTCAAAGCTCTGATGAAGGACCAGCGCTCTGAAAGCTTGTGATTTCAAATAAACCTGTTGTACAATAACCTAGTGTCATGTGACTTCTGACTTTTTTTTACAAGGGATAGTTATGCATCTGGATATAGCATATGCTAGACTTTTGAGGTTTCTCAGAAATGTTAGTTATTTGAGCCATACTTTAAGATGTAGTATGAAAGACATCATTTGGATTAATTCCTCAAAGAGCTTCCAAGCATATTTACTTTGACAAATTCTGTTTTGTGAGGAAACAGACTGAGTGGTTTGTTTGCTGTTAATATGTCTGCCCTTTGACACAAAGTTGGAGGTTGTGTTTTATGTAATGTGTGGAAGCAAGTCGATAAAGCTAGCGATTGTTTGGTTTATTTTAATGGCTTTTATGGTGCTGGTTTTAAATAATAATCCTGTTTGCCACCTTCTGTCCTTGAATTTTGTTTTTTGTCCAGCATCTAGCAATCCATATCATGTTGTCCCCAAGAAGACTGATGACACCACTGCTGAATACTATTATTACCTGAACGTGTGCGGACAGATCAGCTCTGATGTCTGCAGCGATGATAGAGGTTTTGTAGCATCATGTCAAACTAAACTAGAAGCTTCCTTTAGTAAGGTTGCAGGACGATATGAAAATCAGACGCTCAGGTATGTAGTCACATTTTATTTGGTTGAGATAAAGATGTCAATCAATTTTAAGTGGTAACCATGACCTGAGATCCTGGAAATTGGTGTCAGTAACTCTCGGCAAATGTTGTTGAAATGGTACTGGATTAGGTTTGTTGGTATTTCTATTTTGACTTTTCTGTGTTGCAACTGTGACTATGCTGAAAAGTATATTACTGCCTACAAAGCACTCCAGTTGCCCTTGGGTCATGTAAGGTACTAAACAAAATACAACATAAAACAAAGAACGATGGATGCTGGAGATTGGAAACAAAAAGCAAATTGCTGGCAAAACTCAGCATGTCTGGCAGCATTAATGGGAAGAAAGCAGAGTAAACGTTTCAAGTTTGTTGACTCTTCTTCATAGCCTCTAGTAAAGTATTATTGGACTTGAAATGTTAACTCTGCATTCTTCCCACAGATGGTGACAAACCTGAGGTTCTGCAACAATTTCTGATTTTATTTAGTATAAAATACAAGTTTTGTTTACTGTTTCCATCATTCCCCAACACCACTGCTTCTCGGCTTGAACCATTTTGTCAACATTTGGAGCAAATGGCTGGGCTGTCAAGTTCCAGTTTATCACAAAATTAAGAAAATATTTTTGGTTTGTTGATGTAATGCTGAACAATTGGTTTGTGTATGATTCAAATGGGGAATTAAATGTTGTTCCAATGGACGACTTGTTGGGATAATTTGGTACCTATCAATATTGGAAAACGTTCTCAAATATTGCTGTGTAGTTCAATAACAGCTTGCGCTTTATATAATACCGGTTATGTAACAAACCATCTGAAGGCACTTAACAGGCACAACTTGTTATGGAGCCAAGTGAGCTATGAGACCAGGTTACCAAAAGCTTGGCCAAAGAAATAGATTTGAAGTAGGAGAAAGAGAACACAATTGGAGAAGTAGAAGTTGAGAGAGTTGCAGATATTGGAGCAGAGTTGTTCCTCAAAACAGTCTATCAGAGGAGAAGCAAATTATGTTGGAGATTCACGAAGGTCCAATTTGTTGGCAGTGTTCAGTGTTTTGGAGCTGGTGAGTTTAGGTGGATAGGGATGAGATGGTGAAGGGGTTTAACAATAAGGATAGGAGTTTTTAAAGTCAAGATGTTGCCAACTGGGTGTGTTTTCTGCTCCCTAAGCATGGGATGATGGGAAACGGAATTGGCACTGGTTGTTTACACTCCTATGTGCCCAAAACGAGCAAAGAATTTGATGCAAGGTACCTTTGGTAGAGACATTTTTGGGGTCATCTATTGATAAACCTTGGTACACCAATGTAGGAAATCTAGTTGTTTGGCCTGTTGTAAAATAAGTTACATTTGAGGCCCCTCTGGTATGAAATGCATAGTGACAGAAAATGATGTGCGAGAAATGTAAATACTTTACAGGCCTTGGAGATTCTTTTCTCAGTTCAATAATTTTGCTCATTTACCAAGTAAATCTGTACCATCTTTTGTTCTGGTTTTTTCCAAAGCTGGCTTGCTACCATAGTGTTTTGATCTCAGGGCCATTTGTGTTCCATTATTTTAGTTGAGGGAGAAGAAACAGAATTCTTGTGCAGCATTTTGAAAAATAGTAAAACTTTAAATAATCACCAAACAGTTGTCACTTGGAGTGGTGATCACAGCCAGGGTAAAATGAAGTTACAACTGTTCATTGTTGTGATTTGAACAGCCTTTTGGATTTCCTTGTGATTATTTGCTACGTTGAGGTCTGGTAATGAATGGTCGTAGACAACTAAACAGCTAACAATTGGAGGCTCCACAAATATACCATCCTAAATGATGGTGGAGCTTGTCACATCAGTGCAAAGGTTGAGTCTGAAGCCTTGGCATCCATCTTCAATCAGGAGTGCCAAGTAAAAGATCCAGTATGGCCTTTTCCTGGGGTCCCTAGCATTACAGATTCCAGTCTTCAGCCAATTGACTTCACTTCATTTCAAGTGAAATCAAGAAATGGCTGAAGGCACTGCACACAATGGTCTCTGAAAACATTTCAACAATAGCGTTGTTGAACTCGGCTCATAGATGACATGAATGTTACATGCTATAAAAGCCAATCAGTAATAACTCGGGGAGAGAATCTAACCATCACTTGATAGACATTCAATGGCAGTACTATCATTGATTCTCCAACTTTCAAGAAATGCTGGGAGGGCTACCCTTGAACAGAATCTAATCTGGGCCAGTCAAAAAAAGGTTGAGACCACAAGTACATTAAAGGTTAGGAATTCTGAGGTCTGCCTTTTGATACTCAAATGTCTGCAAGGCACAAGTCAGGATAATGATGGAATAGTCTCCTTTGGCCTGGATGAGTACAGCTCCATCAAAAACTTGAGCTCCATACCACTTAGGGTGAAGTAGCCCAACTAAGACCACACTGCCCACTACATTCAACATTCACTCCCTCCTCGATTTGTGTATAGCAACTCACCAAGGCTTCTATGACAACACCTCCCAAACCTGTGATCTTTGCTACCTAGGAAACATGTGGCAGATGCATGGGAGCAGTGCCATCTGCATATTCCCCCTCCAAACTAACTTAGACTTGTAGCTCCGTTCTTTCACTGTAGCTCAGTCAAACTGTGGCATTCCCTCCCTTATCAGCACTGTGGGCGTATATACCTACAGCATGTGCATTGCAGAAGTTCAAGAAGGCAGTTTAGCACCACTGCCTCAAGGAGAAACTTGTATAGCTGACAAATAGTGGCCTTGTCATTGCCCACATCTTGTGAATGAAGTAGTAAAGGTCTATTATGCCATCATTGTTAAATGGGTAAAACAAAGGAGGTGTTGAAGAAGTGGGTTTCAGACGGGTCCAAGCTGATTAACGTCCACTGTCTTAACTTTGAAGGAGCCACAGTTGTAGTCATCACTTATTTTGATTTCAAATTACTTGCTCAACCTGTGCCTGGAAAACAACTAGTGAAGTTAGCACATAACAAGGTGTGGGGCTGGAGGAACACAGCAGGCCAGGCAGCATCAGAAGAGCAGGAAAGCTGACGTTTCGGGTCTGGACCCTTCTTCAGAAATGGGGGAGGGGAAGGGTGCTCTGAAATAAATAGAGAGGGGGAGGCGGTGATAGAAGATGAATAGTGGAGCAGATAGGTGGAGAGAAGATGGACCGGTCAAGGAGGCTGGGATGAAGCTAGTAGGTGGGAAGTGGGGGTGGGGGTTGGTCAGTGAGGTGGGAGGAGCGGATAGGTGGGAGACAAGATGGACAGGTCAAGGAAGCGGGGATGAGGCCATGGTGGGGAGATTTTGAAGCTAGTAAAGTCCACATTGAGACCATTGG